TCCAGAAACATATTAAAAAATCATACACTACGACCAAGTAGGCTTCATCCCAGAGATGCAGGGATGGTTTAACATACGTAAATCAATAAATGTAATCCAAGACATAAACAGAGCCAAGGTCAAGTTTCACATGATTATCTCCACAGATACACAAAAGGCTTTTGATAAAATACAACATTCATTCATGTTAAAAGCTCTGGAATAGAAGGAATAGAAGGAACATTCCTTAAAACAATAAAAGCCATATATGACACACCAATAGCCAATATTATACTTAATAGGGAAAAACTTCAACCTATCTCCTAAAATCAGGAACAAGGCAAGGATGCCCACTGTCTCCACTACTCTTCAATATAGTCCTGGAACCCTTAACCAGGGCAATAAGGCAGAAATAAACATTAAAGGGATCTGCATAGGGAAGGAAGAAGTTAAACTATCCCTTTTTGCAGATGACGTGATACTATACCTTCATGACCCCCACAACTCCATCCCCAAACTCTTAGAAATTATAAATCACTTCGACAAAGTAGCAGGATACATAATCAACCCACAAAAATCAGTTGCCTTCCTGTACATTGACAATGTACAAGCAGAAAGGGAAATAAAGGAAGCAACCTCATTCACAATAAACCTCGCCCCAAATAAAATATTTAAGAATTAACCTAACCAAAGATGTAAAAGAACTATTTAACAAAAACTATAGAAACTTAAAGAAAGAAATTACAGAAGACACTAGGAAATGGAAAGACCTTCTATGCTCTTGGATAGGCAGAGTTAATATAGTGAAAATGGCAATAGTGCTAAAATTAATATACAAATCCAATGCAATTCCTATTAAAATCCCAATGACGTACATTTCTGAAATATAGAAAATAGTCCAAAAATTCATATGGAACAACAAAAGACCTAGAATAGCCAAAACAATTCTAGGCAAAAAAGACAACATGAGGAATCTCGATGCTGGACTTCAAACTCTACTATAGAACCATAATAACAAAGACATCAGGGTACTGGCACAAAAACAGACCCGAAGACCAATGGAATAGAATAGAAGACCCAGAAATAAAACAACACACCTACAGTCAGCTGATATTTGACAAAGGAGCCAAAGACATACAGTGGAAGAAACACAGCCTTTTCAACCACTAGTGCTGGAAAAACAGGGCGGCCACATGCAGAAAACTAAAAGTGGACCCCAGCCTATCCCCATGCACCAACATCAACTCAAATGGATTAAAGACCTTAACATCAAACCTGAATCTCTTAAACTACTGCAGGACAGAGTAGGAGAGACACTTGAACTTATAGGCACAGGCAGGAACTTCCTGAACAGAGTCCCAGGGTCACAACAAATTGGAGAGAGACTTGACAAATGGGACTACCTTAAAATAAAAAGCTTCTGCACAGCTAAAGCTATAGTAACCAAGCTAGAAAGACAACCAACTAATTGGGAAAAAATATTTGCCAGCAGTATATCAGACGACGGGTTATTATCCAGTATATACAGGGAACTCAAGAAACTAATCCCTCCCAAACCTAACAAACCAATTACTAAATGGGCAAGGGAACTAAAGAGAGACTTCTCAGAAGAAGAGATAAAAATGGCAAAGAAACACGTGAGGAAATGTTCATCATCCCTGGTGGTGAAGGAAATGCAAATAAAGACAACCCTGAGATACCACCTTACCCCAGTTAGAGTGGCCCACATCCTAAAGTCAGCCAACCACAAATACTGGAGGGGATGCAGAGAAAGAGGAACCCTATTACACTGCTGGTGGAAATGTACACTTATACAACCACTTTGGAAAGCAGTCTGGAGGGTCCTCAGAAAGCTAAATATTGACCTCCCTTATGACCCAGTTATACCACTTCTAGGCATCTATCCTGAACAACAGGAACCAATATACAAGGACACGTGTACCTCCATGTTTATTGCAGCACTGTTCACAATAGCCAGGATATGGAAACAACCCAGATGTCCCACCACAGATGAATGGATCCAAAAATTTTGGTATCTGTATACAATGGAATATTATGCAGCCATTAGAAAGGACAAAATAATGGCATTTGCAGGGAAATGGATGGAGCTAGAAGAAATCATGTTGAGCGAGGTAAGCCAAAAGCAAACAGACAAATAGCACATGGCCTTCCTGATAAGTGGATGTTAAATCCAAAATGTTAAGGATATGACAAAATTAACAGGACTTAAGAAACAAAGGACTTCCACTCATCTGGTCGAATCACCACTAAATAACCCCATGCTGCTGATCACATGTATGGTATATATGTGCACACTGGAGGGAAACCAGGAAGACGACACAGAACTAGAGGGAATCAGGGAAAAACATATAACAGCAGTACCCATCAGCTGCACTGGACATTGACCAAAATGAATTAAACAACACAATGGCAGCGATGGGAGGGAGGGAACAAGTGGGAAAGAGGGAACAGCTGATGCTATGCAAAACAAAAGAAATGTACATATCACCCAATGCGGAAGAAATAACTGTATTGCAAAGCTCATAGAACTCATAAATGTTATAGACCATGATACAAAAAGAAAAAAAATAAAAATAGGGGTCAAAAAAAGAACCCAATCAGTAAAGAGAACGCAGCAGAGCAGAAAGGAGAAGAGTAAGATACATGGCTCAGTATGCAGAGAAACCATGTATGCAGAGAAACAAACAATCACAAAAGTACATTTGTAAATCTGGAGTTTAGAACAGACTGTTTCTTATTAGTACAGAACAGATTTCTATGTCAACAGATCTATCTATCTATCTATCTATCTATCTATCTATCTATCTATCTATCTATCTATCTATCTATCTATAATGGATAAGCAAGTTGTAGGGTACCAAAATCAAGTACAGTGACAACAGGGGATATACCATAGGGGGAAAAAAAAGACAAAAGAAACAAACAAAAAAATCACATAGTACATTAAAAACAACAGCAACAAAGAAAAACCTTTTGTGCCTATATCTTAGGGTTCATTTCACTTAGTATCATCTTATATGGTCATATGTACATAGCTTTTGAGCATTGTACATATTTACATATGTACACTGCTGGTGTACATTCCCACCAGCAGTGTAATAGGGTTCCTCTTTCTCCGCATCCCCTCCAGCATTTGTCGTTGGCTGACTTGAGGATGTGGGCCATTCTGACTGGGGTAAGGTGGTATCTCAGGGTTGTCTTTATTCACATTTCCTTCACAACCAGGGATGATGAACATTTCCTCATGTGTTTCTTTGCCATTTTTATCTCTTCTGAGAAGTCTCTCTTTAGTTCCCTTGCCCATTTAGTAATTGGCTTGTTAGGTTTGGGAGGGATTAGTTTCTTGAGTTCCCTGTATATATATATATATTATATATAACGGAATTCTATGCTTCTATCAGAAAGAATCACACTACCCCATTTGTTAGGAAATGGAAAGACTTAGAAAAAAATCATATTAAGTGATGTAAGCCAGATCCAAAGAAATATAGGTCCCATGGTTTCCCTTATTTGTAATAGTATACATTTAGAATAATCTTATCAGATGAGCAGAAATGCTCAAAAGCTATGTACATATGACCATATAAGATGATACTAAGTGAAATGAACCCCAAGATATAGGCACAAAAGGTTTTTCTTTGTTGCTGTTGTTTTTAATGTACTATGTGATTTTTTTTTGATTGTTTCTTTTGTCTTTTTTTCCCCTGTTGTCACTGTACTTGATTTTGGTACCCTACAACTTGCTTATCCATTTATCTAATTTAGAGAGGGGAAAGGGAATAATAAAATGCTGAAACAAGGAAAAAAACCCAGAAAAACCACCAAAAACCCAAAATTATACTGTAAATAAGGCCACCCAGGGCTTCCACAAGCCTATACCCATCCCCATGGCTCGGGATGTACTCCTGTCCTTCTAGAATGACTTTGCTAGCCAAGCCACCTGGGTTCAGTTAAAGTGATTGTCATAGTTCACATTTCTTGTGTGGAGTATCTGACTCATGATTTGGGGAGAGTCTCAGGAGACTCAATGAACTTTTGACCTAACCCAACTTGTTTGTTCTGCCAGTAACTACCCAAATCCATTGTAGGCCCCACAGCAGGAACGGCAGTGACTGTTCTCACATTAAAGGAAACGTGTGCTGTTCTGTTGCAGCTGCTGTTGAAGCTCCTCAGGTTGCTCTTGCTTGGAGGAAAGGAGGAGACATTCTCCTGAGTGTGAGGGAAAAACACCTTCTCTCAGATTCCCAGACCAGCTGGAGACTTTGCCATACAGACAGATGGGCTTATTTTCCCTGGCAGACTTCTGGTGGTAGAGAGAGGGAGGCAGCTATCTACATACCCAAAACTTCGTCTATGGGTGGATCTTAGAAGCTGTAGGAGCCCAGTTTGGAAACAGGTTAGACTGGGACTGGCTTAGAATAAGGAAAAGGCATAGACAGCAGAGAGTGACAGAAATATAATTTAGGATTATATTGCTATCACAAATGGAAACGGCCTTTTGGAGGGGTATTTGAGATCTTCCTTTGGTGCTGCCACCCAGTGTGGGCAGCAGTTGATCCCTTGGAGGGCCAGGAGGGTTGTTTTCTGGTGTGGAACTCTTTACTTAGGTGTGGCGGATCCACAGTGTGGCACATGCAAGTTTGAAGGAAGTGTGAGCAGTGAAGAATAGTCCACTTTTCGATTACTGTACTTGGGCTCTAGTCTGTCTGTCTGTCTCTCTTAAAAAGAACATTAGCATTTAATGAGCCTCCTTCTTTATGTCTTTAAGCCACCAGGACACAGGTTCCCTAACATCCTCAATTTTCTCCTCAGCTCTTTTGTGAAGAATCTGGCCTTCTTGATAACAGGCTACTTAGCCAGCTTCCCCTTCCTGAGGACTCTGTAGTAACCCTAGAGAGAAAAGGATTTACAATATACTACAATACATGCAGCAGGTATCAACCCTCTAAGGCTGATGAGGAAACAGGCCTGCCAGCCAAAACTCCCTAGGATCTGTGGAAGCAAGTTTCTGATTGAGGCACTAATGGGGGCACTGGCTGCCCCCACCAGTGAATCAAGGCCAGCAGATTCTCTCCAAGAATGCTAGCATACCAGCACAAGTGTAGTATCAGGATGTGACTCTAGTCTGGGCTCTCCACATCTTTAACAGGACTCGACCTATAGGGGATACTCAGGGTAGACTTTTATCCCAGAAGAAGAAAACTTGTGCCTAGAGATTAGATCTTGGTTAAGCTGTTGAATATAAAGCTTAATTTTATTCTATATTTAAATGCAGAGAGAATGTCTTCTTATGGACAGCTCAAACAACTGTCATAGTTTCCCCTTGATGCTCAGGGCACTGAATGATACCCACCTATCTTATGTATGTATGTATGTATGTATGTATGCATGCATGCATGTATATGTGCCAATACTTGAATTTTTTCATTCAAGGTTGGTATTTTACCATTTGAACCATATACAGTCTATTGGTAGTTAATTGGAGATCAGAATATCATGAACTTTCCTACCTGGATTGGCTTTGAACTGTAATCTCAGATCTCAGCCTTCCAAGTAGCTATGGTCACAGATGTGAAGCACAAGTGCCTGGCCACATTCACTTATCTTTTGGCCTGAATACAGCTTCCAGGAGTTTGCATTCCTCTAGAGGATGTTTTATGACCTTATTAGAAGCTAGATCTCTGCCTCTCTGACTATCTCTCTTTCTCTCTTGCTCTCTCCTGCTCTCTCCCTCTTCTCTCTCTCCATATGACCCCATGGACATGGACAATCAAGAAGATATCTTGGAGTCAGTATAAATATTAGCTTCGTCCCTTCTGAAAGGGAAGGCTCCAGAGATGGCTCTCAACTCAGCCTTTTGTGTGGACACATACCTGTCAGGGGCAGCTTTGACTCAATGACCTCCTGTGGGCTTGCTACCCAACACTGCATTTCCATGGTCCATGAACTTGTTTGCATTCACGAAGAGTTCCCAATCCATGCGGTTAAATGGCCGGTCTATCAGTTCTGGTTGTCTAAAAATGTTTTTGGTCATCCCCTGCTTTAACTGTGGTGTCTCATTTAAGCATGTTGGTTGAGGTACCCCCTACTGGAGCTTAACTGGTCACGCAATAGTGGAGCAGTCCAAGTGTGTCATTGTTGGACTTTGGGTACCCGTTTGGTTCCCTCATCTGTCTTGAATCTCTTGGATCTGGAGTGTGTTGGGAGTTAGTCTGATGAAGGATCTGAGATCCTAAGTCAGCCTGGTCGAAGACAAGATGTCTTTCATCTGAAGCCAATATTATAGTGAGCAAAGTTTGTTCTCAGGTAGAGTGTAAGTTGCAAAAATGCTGTCTTTCCTAGAGTCCAAGATGACTGTATGTCTGGGATATGTGTGTGGGGGAAACAGAAGGGGAAAAGTTAGAGTGGTAGAGAGAGACTGGACTTACCCCAGTGAACATTATTCTCCTTCAAACCTATGGAACTGTAAAGAAAACGTAGGTAGGTGCCAGTGGCTCACACTTGTCATCCTCAAAAGACTGAGAGTTCTTGATTGTAAGCCAGCTGACATGGTAGCAACCAAAACTTCCAGTGTTTGAACCTATGAAAGACTCTACCTGCTTGCCTGTGCTAGAAATAAGAGCATCCATTTAAGAAAAGCTTAGTGGCTACTAAATCCTAAGACTGCATTAAATGAATCCTGTTCTTGGTATTCAAAGAAACAAAAACATATTTGTCACAGAAATTTAGTTGACATCTTACAACTGATCACGTGTGTAGCTTAGATAAATGCAATCACGGTAAATGTCTATATGATCCAGGATTTTGTTTTTACTTTGAAATGGGAGCCTTTGTTGTTTAAAAGCTTATTAAAAACTAAAATCTGGGGGTTAGAGTCATGGCTCAGATGGTAGAATGTCTGCTCATGATCAAAAGCAAAGTTCAGATATGGAGTTTGAGTCCTGGTCTTGGACAAAAAAATAAATAAAGAAAAACTAAGATCTGTTTCTGTAAAAAAGTATCTACTAATAATGAATTAGCTCAGATAAATGTTATACCTGCTGATGATCACTATGTACTCATTAAAAATCAGATATAGTATTGATTAACCTGTGAGATTGGTGTGCAATATCTTTAGGTTAGAACGGAAGCTCCAAAGCCTGGTTCTGCAATCCTAGCTACTCAGGAGGTTGAGCTATGAGGATTATGGCTCAAAGCCAGCTGGGCAGACAAACCTGTGAGACTCTGATCTCTAATTAACCAGATAAAAAGCCTAAAGTAGAGGTGTGTGCTCAAGTGGTACAGTGCCAGCTTTGAGTGCAAAAGCTAGGAAATAGCATGAGGCCATGAGTTCAAGCCCCAGTTCTGGAACAACAGCAAAGCATGCTCCATCACATTTATGGGGGATCATTCTGTACATTGGTGAAATGGGGGTGTTTTATCTCAGACTAAACAAAAGACAGGGGAAAGAGGACTCTGACTGCTCCCCTCCACCCCAACCATAGCTCATAAATGGAGGGTTTTTTTTTTTTTTTTTGAGACATAAAAGATTACCCAGGGTAAGTATCACCCGAGGGTGAATCAGACTGGCATGCTAAAGTCATTAATTACACCAGTTGTTTCTTGATTATATATATTGCTGTGATGACTATTTCTCTGATTATTGCTTTTTAACATCTGATTAATTAATGACTGACTCAAAGATACTCAATACAGTTCTCTGTGATTCTAGCTTGGCATTGCTAAATGTTTTTACTCTTTTGAAATGTTTTTACTTTTTTTGTAGATGTGTATGCATGTGTCTGTTGGTTCTGGGGCTTGAACTCAGGGTCTGGGTACTGTTCCTGAGGGTTTGTTTTTTGTTTTTGTTTTGTTTTTTTTCCTCAAAGGTAGCTCTGTACCGCTTGAACCACAGCTCTATTGCTGGCTTTTTGGTGGTTAATTGGAAGTAAGAGTCCGAGGGACTTTCCTGCCTGGGCTGGCTTTGAACCTAGATCCTTATCTGAGTAGCTAGGCACGGGCCACTGACGCCCAGCTATGAGCCACATAAGTTAGGAACATAAAAATATATTAATGAAGCACTTGCTGGTTGAGGAAATTGTTAGGTTTGGTAGAGAAAGGCTAACTGCAAATTACATTTATTGGCTTAAGTATTTTATTATTATTATTATTATTTTGTTGTTGTTGTGGTTCTAATGCTAGGGATCAAACCCAGAGTCTAAAGAATGCAGGCGCCAAGAACTTACCTATTCCTTTCTGAAATTCTCAGGGATTCCTAGACTCTGGGTCAGTTACTTGTCCTTTGGCACCCCCTTCTGGAAGAATCACTCATAAGTCTGTGCAGCTCTTCCCAGAGGAGCGGCTTGGGCTAGTGGCTGTCCTGCCAGAGAGAAGGCCCCACTGAGGGAAGGCATCTGCTGGGGTGAGATGGTGGAGGGAAGACCAGCCGGCACTCAAGAGCCCAGCAGGCATGTGTACAGAGGCCAAGCCTACAGGCCTGGCTCCTGTCAGTACAGCCCCTTCCATGCTGTGGGCAGGCACTTCCTGGAGGATATAGCTGGTCCTGACACTTATCTTTCACCTTCCACCCAGCACCTGGCTCTTTGAAAACCCTCTCTGAGTGTCTCTCCACATGCAGGGTAATGGGCAGCCCCAGCCTTGATGCAATGGCGCTTTACCTTTTGTTTCCATGCTGCTGCTCTGGTCATATTTCTTCTAACTGCTCAGGTCACATCCTGTGATTTCTGTCCCCAAAGCAGGCCAAGCCTTTGCCTGTGTACTACTTCCCTCTGCCCGGGGTACTTGGTTATCCATTCCTTATCGCAAGTCAGAACTTCTCCTCAAGTCCTGACTCAAATATCATCTCCCCAAGGAATATCCCTCAACTTCCCAGGCAGAAGGAAGGGTTTTTTTTTTGTTTGTTTGTTTTTTATTTCCCTTTTTGGGTGCTCTGAGCTCCTGGTCCCTGTCACTCAGTGTGCTTGGTGCATGGTGATGGTGCATGACTCTGTTCTCTTATTCATCCCCACCCTCTGAGCTGGCCCAGTGTCATATTCTTATTACTTAGCAGAGGGCCTGGCACACTGCGGTACTGCAAAACGATTTATGGAATGAATGAAAGAATAAATGAATGTGCTTCCTGACTGTAGCATTTAGAGATTCACTAATTGAAGGAGGACATCCAAGACAGATGTGTTTAAGTATGGGTCCGACTCCACCCAAGCTCTGGAGCTGGGAGGATGAGCTTTTAGGCAGAAGAAGGATAATCGGTCTTTTGTGATTCTTAGCTGCTCCTATTCCTGCAGGTGGGTCCCTGAAACTGGCTGAGTCCGTCTTAGCCATTAAGTGTCATGACGTCATCTCAGGAATGCAGTTAAGGCTTTGTTGGGCTGCACAAGAATCCGTGGAAAGGGCATCAGCTGTCAGAACTAGAGGCACCAGGGATGGGTAGGATGTGGACTTTGGTGGGGGATCCTCTGCTAACACAGTTGCCTTCTGCCTGAGCTGGACCATCAACTGGATCAAGTACAGCTGGACTGTGGATTCTGAGCAGCCTTGCCCTAACGGCCACAGGTCAGAGCCCTTCCCGAGAGAATGTGGTGGGTGTGTGCTTGTAGCCTCTGGAGAACAGAGCTGGGCAGCGTACTTGCTGCAGAGGGCAAGTGCAGTGTGGACAGGTTTCCCAATGTGTAGCTGGGGCAGCGAGGGGGTTGAGGACTCCAAATGGAAAGTTCAAAGACGTGTGTTTGAATCCAGCTCTAAGTGGGTCTAGTTGTGTGATCTTGGGAAATTCCTTAAACGGAGAGAACTTTGTCCTTTTCTTCTCAGGAAAATGGGGTAACAATGCCATTTTCCTAAGGCCATTGTGAGGAGGAAATGGGGGTAATGTGTAGAAGATGCTGCTCTTGCTAGACATTGGTGGCTTGGGCCTATAATTCCAGCTACTCAAGAGGCTGAGATCTGAGGAATGTGGTTGGAAGCCAGCCCTAGAAGGAAAGTCTGTGAGACTCTTATCTCCAATTCACCACCAAAAAACAAAGAAAAAAAAAAAGGAAGTACAGTTGTGGCTCAAGTGCTAGAGAAAAATAGCTGAGGGCTTGTGTGCACACGCGCGTGTGCACGTGCACGCACACACACAGACAGACAGACAGACACACACTAGTGTGGTGTGTTGCTAGTGCTGGTCTGGCTCCACAGGGGCAGAAGCCATGATTATCATAAAGAATCTGTCCTCTGAGAACAGGGATTCCCATCTCCGTCTCTGTAGGAAGTGGGGAGCAGTAAGTCACAGGCAGCAGAGAGCCACATGAGTGCTTCAAGGAAGCTAAGGGCAGGACCCAGGACTGTAGGGTCACAGGGACTGTGCTGAGGGTATGTCAACTCTTACAAGGGTCATGCAAAAGGTGATGGAAGGGGTAAAGATGGCTGGCAATGCCTGTGTGTCCACACACTGAAGTAAGAAAGAAAACAGCAGCAGAAGAACTGGGTTGAGTTTCCTGGGAGGTATAATTATTTGCCTATCCCAGGCAAAACATTAAAAAAAATTATAGGGGGGGGGAGGGCATCCTGGCGTGGGATATTAAAATTTCCACTGTGAATGACAGAAACACCAAGTCACTTTAGAGTGTTTAGCTTGTCTTCCTAACAGATGGGATGGAGGGGACATGAACACAGCTTTCTGTACCCTGGAGGCCCGAGTCCCAGTGAAGAGATACAGCTGTCTCTGAGCTTGTGCAGGGAAGCTTCTTGAATGAGTGCTTTTGAGTCAGGTTGGCAGGGGGCCAGCCACCATGGGAAGCAAGTCCCCAGGACAGGGTACAGGATGTGGTGGAAAGTTGTGGAAGGAAGCATCTGTCCCTCCTTGGGCTGATCTAGATCAGATGCTACTCTTTTCTCCCAGATTCTCAAGTGTCCCCAACGGTGCCACCTCTTCATCCCTCCCACATTCACCCCCTACCCTGGGCTGGGACCCAGCTACTATGCCAGACACACCAGTGGAGGAGTCCCTCTTCCAGATCATCCATTGTTTTCACCACTATGCCGCTCGGGAAGGGGACATGGAGACGCTGTCCCTGGAGGAGTTGAAGGCCCTGCTCATGGACAATGTGCCCCGCTTCATGGAGAAATTGGTATGTAGGATCCAGGATCAAGGTAGAGGAGGGAGAGGGGACCTGGATATCCACATGGGGTTTGTTATAGTTGAAGGTCAGTGGCGAGGAGAATACTTAGGTAGGCGGAGCTGACTTCCACCAGAATCTCCAATTTGGAGGAGGGAAGAAAGGGAGGCAGTGTGGAGGGCAGGCTCTGCCACTTTTATTTCTCGTCCTTCCCTCTCCAGAGGCTCTCTGCTAATCCCTGAGATTTAGCCCTAATGTGGAAGCTGGTGATTATTCTGACGATCCCAGTCTACACCTCCCTTCTTCTCAGAGGCTCATTTCATCAGTGCCAATGCCACAAGCCTCGCACCACTTTCCCAACCCTTACAACTCTAGTTTTTTTCTGCCCCTTGGTCTGTAGGAGGCCATATGATGCTGTGGGGGTGGCCCTAGGCTGGGCTTGGATAAGAACTATAATCTCCTTTTCGACCTCTTGTCCTTGGAGTTTCTCAGTCGGATGGGCCCAGCTCTGGGCTGCCTGTTTGGAAACCCATCCACTGGGGCCTGGTTATCTTCTCTGTCATCAGGCTTAGCCTGTGATTATGGGGCTCCGTCAGGACTGGAAAACCTGGAAGAGTGTCCACCAGTGCTGCCTTCTGTTCTCTGTCCCATTCCACTGTCTCTGGGCTGTTATCTCTAGAGAATGTCAGGTTCCACCCATTCCAGGAAATGAGTCTCCTTGGATCATCCTGGAGTCCAATGTCCAGCATTGGGAAGGGGCAGAGTTGCAATCTCACCCTCCACTTACTAGAGTGTGCCTCTGAGGTCCAGAGAGGGAGAATTTGGGCAGAACCTTATTGTGTTGAATCCTGCTTCCAGGAAACCCTTTCCTTTCCAGGGGAAAACTCCATGGGGCTATTTCTAGCCTGCCAGGCTCTGCACTTAATTAAAGGGCTCACAATCCCATTTGGAGACAGGGCTCTTGATAATAGGGCCCTCAGGGACAGACACCTGGGCACAAGTGGCAGACCTGCCTGATGGAGCCTGGGCAAGTCTGGAGCCAGGCAGTGGAGACAGCTGGCTGGAGGCAGGAAGCCTCTGGCGATAGGTTTGCAGAACCAGTAGATGGTAGCGGGTGGTGAAGGGAGAGAGGCTGGGAACCTCCTTGCAGCAGATTCCAGATATATTGACTTCCAGAGTGCTCCGCTTGGGGTGAAGCATGCTCATGCCTACCAGCCAAACCTTGTGATAACCTGCTCCATCTGCCATACTCTGGGCCCTGCCCCACCTGTTTTGCCTCCATTTTTCCCATTTCCATGTTCTGCTTGGATCCTTGATTTTCTTCATGCCCCTGCTCCACCTCAGATACCTCCTTCTTCTCCACCATTCCCAGTCCTCAGCTCCACCTGCTAGGGACGTTCTGGACAGTTCCAGGATGTGTGGCTTTGTCCTTCCCATTATTCTGCACTCAGTGTGGTTGACACAGGCGAAGTGTCACAAATAATGTCTAGGCAGATGCTTCTGTAGGCCAATATATGCCCCTGCTTGATGCTGGCCCAGTAGTCACGCTGCGACTCAGGTGTGAGGGACACCTTGCCCTCGAGGAGTGCTCCGTGTAGGAAGGAAGGCAGTGACCTGTGGTCAGGAAGCCCACCTGGGTGTCCCTTCAGGGAGTTTATGGTGTAGCTGGGAAGCCAAACTCCCTGACCGTGCATCTGCAGATCCCAGCTGCTCAGTGCTGCTCAGGATCTGTGTACAGCCCGAGAATGGCACCATTTTTGTCCTCTGTGCACACACCCGTGCCTCATCAGTGTTTTTGCAGACTGTGGCATCGTCATCAAAGTCTAGGAGTGTTGAGTTGTTTCCCTGCAGGCCCATTGCAGGAGGGGCCTGCTCCATCATCCTGTGACCCTCCAGCCCAACCGGGGCTGAGGGGTGGGGGTGGAGTGGGGCTGGTGCTTGGACTGTGTGCCTCCATGGATGGTTGACCCTCTGCCATTCTTCAGGGCCGGAACGAGCCGTACTACATCTCTGAGTTGTTCCGGGCAGCAGACAAGAACAAGGACAACCAGATCTGCTTCGAGGAGTTCCTATACATCTTGGGCAAGCTGGTGAAGGACTACCACCTGCAGTACCACCGGCAGCTGTGTGCCCACTACTGTGCCCAGCACAACCTCTACTAGAGGGAGAGCAGCTGGCCTCCCCACCCCTCCCAGCTGCCCCAGGGAATATGTGGTCTAGCTATGGGCAGCGGAGCAGGAACACTACGGTGTGTGTGTGTGTGTGTGTGTGTGTGTGTGTGTGTATGCACATATACATGTATAAACAGTCTCATAAATGATTCTGCTCTCATTCAGCTCATGGTTCCTGATAACCCCTAATGGTCCAGGAAGATATGGTGAGATGGTTCATTCCATTTGGGAACGGAGGAAGAAACAGCCCTTGAACCCAAGGTGTCCTTGTCAGATGGAGGAAGCACAGCACTGCTTCCAGGGGGCTGTCTGAGGGGGTCGGGGAGACAGCCCCTGCCCTCTGCTTCAGTCTGTGAGGAGGCAGCTCTTTACTCAGTCAGGTGACCAAGAAAGGAAGCCAAGGCTCACAGTCATACTACTAGCTGCTCATTTGGCACAGGCAAGACTAGAGGGGAGCCCTGTAGACAAGGGCGCACTGCATGAACCCTAATCTTGAAGGTGTCCCTGTTTTAAAGGAGATCTTACACAAGGGGAGGAGGATGGGGAGGAGAGGTGCATTTCAAACAGAGGGAGCAGCAGTGGAGACTCAGCATGCATCCAGGAGCAGGGGAAATGCACCTGGAAGTTCTCTAAGGAGAGATCACATATGCTCAGTTTGATTGAGTGGATCTGGACTTTCCAGAGTCTGGGAGACCCTGAAAGTTGAGCATTGGGATTTTAACTTGATCTTGTTTAAACTTAGGAAGGCAGGAGCAGATGCCCAGCTCTGGGTCTTTCAGAAACCATCTGTAAGCTTGGAGGATGGATGAGAAGAGGGAGGTTGGGGATCCCCAGTAGGGGTTTCTGTGCAGCTGAGTAGAGCCAGTGAGGACCAGGTCAGTAGAGAATGGGTGGGGATGGAAGGGAGCAAGTAGACATGAGAGAAATGCAAACATCTCATACACGGGGACAAATTGAGGGAGGAGAGGAAGCCGGAGTGGGGTCCAGGTTTCAGGCACTAGTGACTGATTTGGTGTAGATGGCCTGGATATTACAGGTATCAGGGTGGGAAACAGTGAGCCAGGGAAGGCTGTGTGCTGGATTTTGTGTGTGCTGAGTCAGAGAGAGAAACAGGGCTAGGCTGACAACTCAACCTGGTGGAATGGTAGTCACCTGTCACCAGAAGAACAAGGAGCGGAACCTGAGAACTGTCAACCAGAGCAGGCTTCCTGGAAGAGGGCAGGGTTGGGTCTGTGTTTTGCTAATAAAACCTGATGATAGATATGGGTGTTGCTGCTGACTCTGACTTATTCATGCTTCAGTGGCTCAAGCCTTGCTGTGGTCCCTGATCCCTCCTAACTGAGACCCGTGCCTGTGTGTCAGTACTCTGGGTCACCTTCTCCCTGGGATCCTAGGAGTTGAAGGCGGAAATCCCCCAGAGGCTTTCCTTTGCCTTCAGGCACTGCCATAGCCTGTCTTTGGTGGGTGATCTTTTCTGAGGATGGGTCTGGGAGCTGGTGTCCTGAGTTTACTGAGGTAGAGACATTTAAAAAAAAAAAACATGATGAAGAGGGGAAGGGTCGGCGAATGCATTGCTCAGACTCAATGTATATATGTAAAAATTGAACTAGGAAAATTGAGGGGATGGGTGGGGTTGGGAGAGATGAGAGAGAATTATGAAAGGGTGCTATTGGTTAAGATGCATGTTGAAGTGAGACTCCTTTGAATAACTACTTAAAGATTTAAAAACCCCCACAAACCAAGAGCTCATTTCATTGCTCTTGGGTAGATTCTGCATCCCACTTCCCTTTCGGCCTTACCCCGGGTGCTCTGCTATGATTGTGCTGGGTTCCGGTACCTGGCCTACACCTGGCCCAGCACCAGCACTCCACCACCTTAGCAGGTGTTTGAAGAAGGAATACAAGAAGGTGAGGAGAGGGACTGGAATCTAGTGACCTGGACCTGACTTCCCTCCTGTGGGGCCCCTTGGTCACATCTTGGTTCTGTCATGGTGACAAGAGGCTGGATTACTCAGCCCACATTTCCTCCAGGCCAGGGAGAGTCCTTCCTGCACCTCGTTGGAGAGGTGCTGGGTTCTACCCAAGGATACAACAAGCCCAAGGCCCCTGTGACTTCCTCCAACCCCCTCCTGGGGAATTTCTCTACCAGTTCTGTCTGTCCTCATTTCCTTAGCATCAGGATGGGCTGGGCCAGATCTGTTGGGACACACATCTGAGGACTGAGACATGTTCCTCTCCCCGCAACTTGCCCCATATCCGTTGGTTGATTGCAAGCTCTGCCTTTCCCCAATATGTTTACCCAATTCTTGTTACCCACATCTGTGAAGTCAATTCTTCCTGGCTCCTGGCTCCTGGCTCTCTGTGGAGCCTCAAGGCTGTTTTCCTAAGGGGTGGGGGACACACTTGTGAATGGTGACAGTTCATGGTTTCATTGATCAGTCTATACAGGATTCTGGCAGGAAGCTACAACTAACTCATGACAGAAACTCACTCAAGATCCTGGGGAAGGACCTTGAGAAATGCCTGGGCCTCGATTTCCCCATTGGTCAAATAGAGATAATTGTGCCTAAATAATGTCCACTCCACAAGGTTGCCAGGAATATTAAATGAGGGCATCAATCTTTTCAAAGTAGGATTACAGCTTTGGGGTAAGGCATGTATGCCAGGTCATATAAAATGGTACCTAGAGCATCATAGGTATGAGCTAGGGTCAAACCTTGGTTGAAAACTTGTCATATTATCTGGCAGAAAGGCCACTGGCTTCCAACTTAGAGACTGAGTTACTGTTTGTCAAGGAAGTTAGATGGTTGATGGGTTTGTATTGTGCATTCTTCCAAAAAAATGACCTAAAGTGATTATATGTGAAAAGGAGAATCACCTCATTGGGTGAGGGAAAGGCCAACAGTTCAACTTTGTGCTTATTTATAATCTCCATAGCCACCAAGCACCCAATAGGTGCTAGATCCTGCGAGTGAAGTGAGTGTGGCTTCTCTTCTAGAGAGTCTCCAATCCCCAAAGAGAAGACAGACAATACGCAGGCAGATCATTGTACCAATGGGTCGGTGCTGTGAGGATAAGGTTTGGGTGGCACAGAGTAGATAGTAAGCTGGGTAGGTGGGGTAGGGCAATGAGGGTCAGCGGGTGGTGTCAGAGTTGGATGAGAAGGATGAGGAAATGTCAGTAGGATGTAGAGTGGCTCCAGCAGGCATAGGATGGAATTATGTCACATCGTACCATGTCATCTAAATCGTACAGAGATTAAATATCCTGTCTCTCCAAGGATTTCAGTTTCCTCTTGTGTGTAGTATATACATGACCCCTAAGGTTAAGCAGGTGTAGGTAAAGCACTGAGGAGATTTTCTGACATGTGGCGCATGCGTAGTGAATGTTAGCTGATCTGTATTAGCTGTATTATTAGCTACTCTTACTACAACTTTGGTTGCTCTTGTGGTGTGTGCCAGGCATTGTGCTGGGTCCTAGGAGGCAAAGATGCCTCCTGCAGAGAAAAAGTCTGGCCAGGAGGGTTCCCAGTCTAGCCCAAGAACCAGGCATAGATCAGCAGCACTCAAGGCTTTTGCTCATCTTACTTAGCCCACCCAGCACTCTACACATTTTAAATTAACTTCTTATGAAAATATAATGCACAGTAAGAAAATGGGCAATTTACAGATATTTTGATTTTTTTTTTTGTCAGTCATGGAGCTTGAACTCTGGGCCTGGGTGCTGTCCCTCAGCTCTTCAGCTCAAGGCTAGTGATCTACCACTTGAACCACTGCACCACTTCCGGTTTTCAGAGATCAGAGTCTCACAGACTTTCCTGCCCCGGCTGGCTTTGAACTGTGATCCTCAGATCTCAGTCTTCCGAGTAGCTAGGATTATAGGCATGAGCTACCAGTGCCTAGCTTTGATTCTTTTTTGAAAAAAACTATCTATTTATTTTGTCAGTCTTGGAGCTTGAGCTGAGGGCCTGGGTGCTGTCCCTGAGCCTTTTGCTCAAGGTTAGTGCTCTACCACTTTGAGCCATAATGCCACTTCTAGCTTTTGAGTAGTTATTGGAGATAAGAGTCTCATGAGGACTTTTCTGCTCGAGCTGGTTTCAAACCATGATCCTCAGATTTCAGTCTCCTGAGTAGCTAGGATTATAAGTGGGAGCCTCTGGCACCTAGCTTGCTTCTATTTTTAATCCTCATAAGATAGAATTTTTGTTTTAAAGAGGTCACCATTAAAAATTGAAAAAATTATGGATTTGTGGTCAAATACATATAATATTAAATACATATAGTATTAAATACATAAAACATTGTTTACATTTTTGCCATTTTAAGTGTACATTTCAGTAGTGTTAAAGTACATTTACATTGTTGGGCAACTGAGCTCTGGAACCCTGTTCATCTTGCAAAACACATTCCATACCCATCAAATGGCTGTCCATTTTCCTCTCCTTCCAGCCTCTGGCAGTGAGAATTCTACTTACTGTCCTATGAATTTAATTACACTCAGTAATGCATTTAAGTGGAACTATACAGCATTTGTCTTTTTAGATTAGCTTATTTCACTTAGCATGCTGTCTTCAAGGTTCGTCCATGCTGTAGCTACAGTCTTCCTTTGTAAAGGCTGAATGTTATTCTATTGCACGTGCACACCACAACTGATTAATCCACTCATTCATTGGTGGGCATGAGTTCTTTGTCCCCTTTGGTTATTGTTAACAAAGCTGACATGGACCTGTGTGTACAAACATCTTTTTGAGACCCTGCTTTGGACTCTGACTGTAGTCATCTACAAGTGGGATTACTGGATCAGGTGGTAACTCATTTTTTTTTTTTTTTTTATTTGCCTGGGCTTTAACTCAGGGTCTTGGTGGCTTGAACTCAGGGTTTGGGTGCTGTCCCTGAATTTCTTTGCACTCAAGGCCTGTGCTTTACCACTTGAGCTACAACACCATTTCTAGCTTTTTCTATGATAACACAATGTTTATCAAGGAACTACCATGCTGTTTTTGATAGAAGTTGTACCATTTTATATTCCCAGAAACAGT